TGAGTGGATGGGCGAGGAAGGTGCGAAGTAATTAGACGTGAAACCAAATAGGCTCACCCGGGGCTGATTCGCGGGCCGGACAGTCACCGGAATTTGTCCAGAGACGCAGATGGAGGGAAGGGATGAAATCCTCGTTGCCACTGTGCTGTATCGATATACCTTCTGTTTCTTGCAGGTACATATTTGTATTTGTCCAGGGACGCAGGTGGAGGGAAGGGTTAGAATACTTATTTCTGATGTGCTGGAACGATATACCTTCAGTAATCTTTCAGGTGTGTCCATGCATACCTGTTTGGAGAGTCTGCGGGGCGGTTGACATGCTGCACATAGGCTAAGCCAAAAGCTCACATTCGAGTTACTGGGACGCGACACGGCGCCGCTTCCAAAATCTAAGTCCATTGTCCACTTAAGGGTAACTAGGCTTGCTACCTTAGTCAACCCAGCTTATCGTAAGAGCCTGGCAAGCTACTAGTGGATAATCATGAGCCAAAAACACTAATATGAATGGGCCTCATTTCTCTAAACCTTAGGGAGTCCCAAAAGCGTCAGCGTCGGGTAGAACAAATTGGAAACTCTGCTAAAATTTCATGACCAAGACAGGCTGCCGAAAAAAAGGAAGACACAGATGACGTCTGTAATTCCAACGCACAAACGCTTGCATGGGAATCGCGTATCGAAGATTCGATGATGCAAGCCAGAGTGATCAAGTACAGCGTTATCGGACTGATCGATATGGAAGGCATCGCCCGCTGCACCGCCGTTTTTGAAACTGCAGAAGAATTGTTCCTCGAAATATGCGACACCACAATCGTCGTCGGCGTAGGTGTCCTCCATGAGCATCGATTCGCAGGAAGGTTTGACAAAGTATGCGAACGTATGCGATTGAAAAAAATGTTGCTTAATCCCAACTCGAACAATATTCGTTGCCTACGCACTACCGTCGAGATACGAAGAGGAGGAGCTGGAACCGTTTCACGGAGACTTGAGAATGATCTTCAGAAAAGACCACGCATTCTTCAAGGTCATCACTGGTGATTCTAATGCGAAAGTCGGTGGAACGGAATGAAATGGGGAGGGTGAAACACTGTCCGAGTTAATCAGGTCGACCAACCTTAGCCGTGGAAAACTGCAGTTTCCCATGATCAAATACATGCCCCTAATGAAAGAGATCACATCATCTTCAATCGAAAATTTTGCCTGACTGAAGTCGCTGTTGCTCCGACGTTTCACATCTGATCTGACTATCATCTCCTCCACGCTAAATTCTGTTTTTCAACGCGTGGAGAGGAAGAGAGCTGCCAAGCTCAAGATACAAAGCTCTGAGACCGTCATCAACAAGGAACACCTCGCTTGCCTTACGAACTTTTGAGAAGATTCAAAAAAACCTATGCAGAAAAGCGGTAAAGAAAAATCTGAAAGCGAGAACAACAGACGGACGAAGTCGCCTAGGCCGGAAGGGTATTCGCAATGCCCGACGGAGCTTCGTCAATTACAACACCAACATGCCTCCATTCGTCGTTCTGCCAAACCCCTACTCCACCGTGGAGGACAATGGAGAATTATCTGCGACTTCCACTCTGATTGTCTAATCTCTTATACAGTCACGCCTGGCCGCCTATCTACCATCTCAAGCAACACAAATATGTAGTCCCTTCAGTTCTCCCTCCCGAAATTCAATATGTCTTCAGATCGATGAATAATTGTGTGATGCCCAGTAGGATCAAACCAGCATATTCGACACATTCGCGTGGATGACGGTGAATGTGATGAAGGTGTATGATTCCCGTTGGGGAAGAATACTTTTAAGATAACGACTCAACCCAAACAACTAACAACCGCAGTGTTTCTCGTCGAACCAACGCAAACAAGTTTTCGCAAATAGCACACTTAGTATAAACCCTAGCGAAACCATGGCTTCTCCTCTGCCTGAGTTGAACTTATGCGTTAGTAGCAACCATAAGCAGCCAAAGCAGCTGCAGTTTCGCCAGAGGCGTATACATTGTTCCTCTATTCGCACTGCATAGGTTCGCCCACCAACCATTCAAAACTTTTTCAGTGAGAGAGGACTCTAGTGAAAGAGATCCGTTATGCAGAAGAAATTTTCCATTTTTGATAATATTTTCTCAACGTGCATATTGAAGGTTGGTCTATTACCGGCGAGCTATGTGCAAGAAATGTGACTGCTGGAACCTATGTTCAAGGATTGTTTTCTTGTTTAACTACACAAATGTTTGCAGTTGGTACAATATACTGTCTCATTCTTGTCATGCATGCGAATTATAATCTGAGAAATCTTGCTACATATTTTGTTTTGTTTCCTTTTAAGGTTTCGTATAGTGACAAATTGAGAAGGGAGTTGTNTGCATATTGAAGGTTGGTCTATTACCGGCGAGCTATGTGCAAGAAATGTGACTGCTGGAACCTATGTTCAAGGATTGTTTTCTTGTTTTACTACACGAATGTTTGTAGTTGGTACAATATACTGTGTCATTCTTGTTGCGCATGCGAATTATAATCTAAGGAATCTTGCTACTTATTTTGTTTTGTTTCCTTTTAAGGTTTCGTATAGTGACAAATTGAGAAGGGAGTTGTTATTGTCAAACCCTTTGCAGTTATGATTTGAAAGGTTGTAACAGTCGGCCTGTGTATCAAATTTACGGGAGACGAGAATTGTCCTCTACGGACCTCATCGCACTTATAGCTCACACCTCCATCTTGCATGGCTACTAGCATCACCATTGGAGCCATTGGAAGCCATTGAATATGTGATATGTTCAACGCTGTGTCTTGATAGGCATGCGGCAATGTTCTAAAATCAGTTCCGTTTTCATTGCATCTACTCATGTTGCATACAATGTCACTACAAATTCCTTCTTTTCTTTGCCGGTCGTTAACTAATATTAAATGTTTTGCTGATCAGACACGTCTATTATATAATATCTGCGATTTCAAGTGTGAGCTCAAAACATTAGAGAAGGTACTGTCCGATAGCTCAAGAGTGGGAGGTAAAAAGAAGACCGAAGGGTAAAAGAAGACCTTTTCTCCATTTAGGGCGTAACCATTCCAAGTTGAGACGCTACTCTGCAAATTGCATGTCATCTCTCTTATTGAAGCAGGAACTTGGTGTGTCGTTTTATCGGCGTGTCGGTTTGTCGTTCTGT